TAGTAAGTGTTTGTGTTGTGCATATTTGCACCGTTATCTATCATTGGCCTGTCACACTTTATATGCAAAGAATACACTCGGTAAAGGTACAAAATTCATTAAATCAGTATGCATGTGTGTTTATTCTATCTTTCTTGAAAATAAATCATATTTGCTTTATTATTTTATTATATATGACATCCATTGCCAATTTTGCCCCCAATAATATTAGATCAGCAGTAGTAGTGGTCAACTGAATTGTGTTTTTCAATAACCAATGCTCATATCAAGACAGCAGAGTCACAAATATGTATCCTACAGGCAATTTAAATCGGAAATATGCTCAGTATTGGTGTTGCTAAAATATTATAAATACTTATATTTATTATTGTATAATAATAATTTTATTTTATTTTGATTTATTACAACCACAAACATTCGGTTACTTTATTTTATTTATTTTACTTGATTTTTTTTTTATTTAATAACAAACACAAAGCATTCTCAGTACTCTGACAAGTGTTGCTAAAATGGTGAATTTTATTTTATTATTTATTTATTTATAATTGTACTTTATTATTTAATTTAAATTGTATTTTATTTTATAATTTTACTTAATTTTGCTTAATTACAACCACAATCATTCTTATTACTGGCTCAAATGTTGCTAATTTGTTTTTTATTTTATTTTATTTTATTGTATTTGTTTATTATTTTATATACATTTTTTGTTTATTTTGTTTTACTATTTTATTTTAATTTTTCTTTATTTTATTTTATAACACATAACAATAATTCATTCATTCATTCATCTATTTGACTTTTTATTAATTTGACTTCATTTTTATTTATTTTATTACAAACACAAATACTCTCAAAAGTACTCTCACAATATATATATATATATAGTTTTACTATTTTAATTTACTAAAATGTTTATTTTATTTATTTTAATGTATTTAATTTTATAACACACAAAGCAATCTCAATACTGGCAGAACTGTATTCGTTAATTTATTTACGTATTTGACTGCTGTTATTTTTTTTATTTATTTGACTTCATTTGACTTTATTTTACTACAAGCACAAAGCATTCTCAGTCTTGACAAATGTTTTGTTTTTATAATTTGTTTTTATGTTTGTTTATTATTTATCTTCTTTTGTACAACACTTTGGTCTATACATTGTGGTTTTGAAAGTACTTCAGAAATAACGTTTTATTTATTTGTTTATATTACACTTTGTTTTACTATTTTATTTCATTTTATTTTTATTTCATTTTATTACAACAAAAAACAGTAATGCAATGACATTCTGATGTTTTTAAGTGCAACTAGTGTCCAAATACTCACTGTATGTGGAAATAAGTGAGTATTAATCATCAAAATCACGTATTTGGATGTGGATAGCGCTTGTGAAGGGCAGATACCTTGTCATTTCTCCTTCAGGTACCTTGCGTAAAATGCGACAGAGCGATCTCGTTTTATCACAGCAGACTGCTATGGCTTTTTGTATCAAAGCACTGCCAAGAAAGCCTGATCACCGCGGCCACAGACCCGACTGATCTGCCGTTTAAAACTGCTTTAGAGCCGTTTAACTGCACTGGCGGCTGACGGCCATCGGAGTTGACGTGCATTAACTGCCATACAGATGCTGTGCAATGCAAGCGCTCAGCTCATCTCTGCAGTGGACAGAGTCCGTGTGGTCACACTTTCTCATCCCACCCTGTGAATTATACATCACAGAACGTGTCAGCCGCCGTGCCCCCTTTGGCCTTCCGGTTCGTTTTTTTAAAGAGGGATAATTACTCTGATTTACATTCAGGTAAGCCAACCTCTGCACTCGTGGGGCCGCGAATTTCGAAATTCTCTCGACTTCTGATCTTTAAATACCATGAAGCCTGCAGAGCTTTGCTGCAATTTTTATGTCAAACGCCTTTGCCCCGCTGAAATCATGACGTATCAAATGTGGAAATAGGTTTAACTTTGGGTCTGTCAGTCTTAAGCGCTCTCAAAGCTGTTTTTCGTTCTTCTTGTATGACGAAAGCATTACTGTCTAGCTGTTTACCTTCGATTTATAGTGTATTGCAGCTGAATAATGGAAGTGTATGTGTATGTATGGTGTGTATATACAAGAAAATGCACTGGAAAATGCTTTTCAAAATGTAAAAATAAAACCCATTTTTCAAATCATAAGCAGAGATTTCCTCCAGAACTTTAAGACCTGCCTGGTTAATAATTGACTCTGTGTTGAATTCGCACCGGCATGTATTTTTAAGCAGTATATTTCTCCTGCTCGGTCCGGCTCCACCTCAGGAGTTGGTTTTGAGGGTCAGGTCGGGTTATGCGCAAATAAATCATTCAAAAAACAAGGCTATCAGACCAGATTTCCCTTGACAGCGGTTGTGATAGGATCAGCCATGTAGGTTTCAGAAGCAAAACATTTTCTGAGAAGAAATAATCAGAAACAGAATCCTGGTTATCAAATGCTTGTTAGATGCATTAAACATAAAATGGCTTATTAAAGTTCAAATTAAATCAATATTGATCCTGTCTCCTTTCTTGAAGGTGAGATGTGATTTAATTTTTGTTATAATACCTTATTTTATCCTAGTTTAGACCAGTGTTATTTTAGTATTATTTACAGGGTCATAGCTGGGGTTTGTGGGGCCCCGGTGCAGGTTGGACCCGTAGGCCCCGTTTGAAATTGTGTAAATAGCACAAATAAATAAATAGAACAAAGATACAAATTAAAAAATCTTTAAGTGTTTTCAAGTTTGTAGGTGTCCAGGTACAGAAACCGAATAATCAAATGTAAAATATCATTGCATAGTCTTTGTGCGCGGTCTGTGAGACGCGGCTCTCTGTGTGCGCACTGAACATAATACGCGAGTACTCGGTTAAGTTCTTTCACTTCTTGTGCTTGAATGCTTTAAACTCTTTTGAATGTTTAAATTGGCAAGATTAAGCTAAATTGGATGATAAGCTTTCATGGTGACGCACAGCAGTGGCCTGTCAACTGTCCTGAGCATCTTTTTAGGCTGGCCTTGGCCAGTCGGTCTAAATTTTGACCCACCCACAGCCCCGCGGGCCCCTATAATCGTCACCACCTTTCACCCCACTAGCAACGGCCCTGGTTATTTATACACTATCAGTTTTTATTTCAAATTAGCTTTCATTTTGTATTTTATATATAGATTTTTAGTAATTGATGTGCTTGTCTTTTTTTTTTTTTTTTTTCAATTTACTTATTTTCATTAACTTTTAACCAATTAGTAATTTTTGTGCTTCAACTTAAACTTATTTTAGTAAGTTGTCAATGCCAGTTTTCTCATTTTCGTTTCGTTTCGTTTTTTATTTTATTTTATTTTATTTTACAAAAAATATTTAATTGTTTATGATAACAATAAAATTGGTAGAGACAAGAGCATTGAGTGCTTCAGCTTAAACTTACTTTAGTTAGTTGCCAAGAAGTATTTTAACTTATTTTAGTTAATTGCCGAGGCAACATTTCTCATTTTCTTTTAGTTTAAAATTTTCATTGAAGATTTTACTTTACTTTACTTTACTTTACTTTACTTTACTTTACTTTACAAAAATGTATCTAATAGCTTTAGTTTAGGTTAAAAATAACCCCGGTAGGGAACAACTACAACATTTATTTCAACTTACTTAGCTGCCAGGGCGACATTTCTCATTTTCCTTTAGTTTATATTTTTTGTTTTGTTTTGAATGTGTGTTTTACAAAAAATATTTAATTGTTTATGATAACAATAAAATTGGTAGAGACAAGAGCATTGAGTGCTTCAGCTTAAACTTACTTTAGTTAGTTGCCAAGAAGTATTTTAACTTATTTTAGTTAATTGCCGAGGCAACATTTCTCATTTTCTTTTAGTTTAACATTTTCATTGAAGATTTTACTTTACTTTACTTTACTTTACAAAAATGTATCTAATAGCTTTAGTTTAGGTTAAAAATAACCCCGGTAGGGAACAACTACAACATTTATTTCAACTTAGTTAGCTGCCAGGGCGAAATTTCTCATTTTCCTTTAGTTTATATTTTTTGTTTTGTTTTGAATGTGTGTGTGTGTGTGTGTGTGTGTGTGTGTGTGTCTTTATTAATAATAACCCTGGTAGAGACAACTAGATAATTTGCAGTGAGATTCCAGTGAATAAAATCAACATATTTCACTCAGGAAAGTCGATGTAGTGTTAATTTCGTTAACGAAGACTATGACGAAAAATGTTAGTTGACAAGCTTTTTTCCCATGACTAAAACGAGACGATAATAAGGTCAATCAAAGCCTCTACTACGAGAGCTTTCATGTGTGCGGTTGCCAGATATCAAGAGTTCAAATCCCCGAATCAGAGCTTCGCTGTTACACTTGATACATTTTCTTCCCGGTGTTTTGCTTATTTTAAGCAATTTGGCGACCATGCGCACGCGCTTGCTCCTCATTGCGGAAGCGCCGCCGCAGATGATCTGAAAAACAAACAAGCTGGAGTTTAGCGATCTAAATGAAAGCATCACTCAGCCGGTCTGTGTTCTGTCATGAGATCTCACTATTGTTTTCGATTGTGATCGCTGAATAAATGCACTTACTCAATCGCTGTTGTTTTAATAGAGAAATAGACTATTGCAATTATGGAATTAGTGGAATTACGAGGAATTTCACTGTTATAATATTTTTCGTTTGTTTTAGCTGTTTTCATAATGTAGACAGAGAGATTGCATAAGTCTTTGGTATTAATTGATATAATAAAAAGCCTATAATAAATCAGTACACTAGATGAGGTAAAATACACCATGTATGTGCTATATAATGTTGATATGGTAACTAGTAAATGCTGTAAATTTGGTTATGCTAGCATGTGTGGAAATATTTAAACCACGTGTGTTACAACTTACCCGGCGTTACTTTGTGCCCCGCGCTCCCCTACATCTGCTTTTCCTAATCCAGTCATGAAGATAACAATGGTGGAGCTGATAATGACGGTGTCATTCTGCTTTTACCTGCAGAACCGACTCGGACGACGTGCGAAAATCCTGGCACTCCGGAGTACGGCTCTCTGAACAGCAGTCTGGGCTTTAAGGTAAGAAAGAGTTGAGCTGTGAGCGATGCTCTCGGACTATCTAGGACTCTCGCATCAAAGCCATTATGATGAGAATAAGTTCAAAAGGCCCATTTCTGTCAGTTGTAGGCCGCTTTTATCTTTCCTAATCCAGTCATGAAGATAACAATGGTGGAGCTGATAATGACGGTGTCATTCTGCTTTTACCTGCAGAACCGACTCGGACGACGTGCGAAAATCCTGGCACTCCGGAGTACGGCTCTCTGAACAGCAGTCTGGGCTTTAAGGTAAGAAAGAGTTGAGCTGTGAGCGATGCTCTCGGACTATCTAGGACTCTCGCATCAAAGCCATTATGATGAGAATAAGTTCAAAAGGCCCATTTCTGTCAGTTGTAGGCCGCTTTTATCTTCAAGTGCAAAAACAGCCTTTTCAATTGGCAGAATGTGACTTTTGATGTGCTTATTAAGAATTGAAAATCATATTTTCCATCATTGCTGAGACAAAAGGAGATCCGCTCGCCCAGTGACAGTATGAGCCGAAGGAGTTAATGCCACATCAGAGAGACTCTTCATTTGAGTCTGTGTCAGTGCGGGTCTATGGCGAGGTATTGCCGTCTTTCCGGACTGCCCTGTCTTTATAAGGCCAATTGATTTATTGTCAAGTTGATTCAGTCAAATGCTGTTTGAAGCGCCCGTGGCAGTTTCAGGATGTGCGACTGTCCCCGCCATCAGCTCTTATTATCTGGGGAGAGTTTACTCTTCAAACACTCGCTATATCTGCCCGAACGCCTCTGCCGGTGCTTTAATGCCTCTTCAGACTCCACTGTTTCTTCCTCAGAGGGGCAAGAGAAATGAAAAATGAATTGGGCACTTTAATATGACAAATTTGCCCGCTAAAATGTCAGATTGTAAGTAAAAGTGGTCAACTGAATTGGGTTTTTCAGCAGAGACAGCATTGACTGACATGTATGATATATATATATATATATATATATTGTTTTATTAAACTTTAATTTATTTTATATTATATTTTATTTTATTCATTCCACAAAATATTATCAGCACTGGCACAAGTGTTGCTTATTTTACTTTTATTTTATTTTATTTTGTTTTCTTTTTTTTACAAAACATTCTTAGTATTGGCACAAGTGCTGCTAAAATTTGTATTTTATTTTATTATTTTATTTCATTTTACTTTACTTTGTTTTGTTGTTATATTTTATTTTATTTTGCTTTATTTTAGTCCAGCTCCAAAACATTTTCAGTATTGGTTGCTATTGTGTTGCTAAAAATATTTATTTGTATTTTATTACAACCATAAAACATTGTGAACTTAGTTACAAATTTCCAGTGGCAATAATAATATATTTTTTTTTATTTTGCTATATTTTATTGCAACTACAAAACATTCTCAAAAGTGGCAGAAATGTTTTTACATTTTGCTATTTTATTTTATTTATTTATTTATTTTTACGACCACAAAGCATAGTACCATAATTTCTGTTGCCAATTAGTAAGTATAATAATAGTATAATAATTAGTAAGTAAATAAATATTTTTTATATTATTATTATTTACTTAAGTCTGGGCATTTTCCCATGAAGGTAAAAACAGTTTTTGAATGTATTGCTTAGCAAGTTATTGAAAGTTATTTAAACTGTCACCATATTTATCTCTATCATATTTATTGTATATTTGCATAGAGTAGGTTTCTGATCTTAATTTTAATAACAAATACATTTATTTTTTTAATCGCTGAAATCAATTGGATTGTAATTGTACACAATATTAATTAACGTAGTATGAATGACAACAACAGATATACATTTTCCATTGCCAAAACTATTGAATAGATTTTGGAGCCGTCAATAATGCGCTGCCAATGGCAATAATCTCAAAAATACGGCCGTTACCGCCAGCATCTATAGTCGACGGGTCTAATGTGAAAAGTGTTTGTCTGTTGAGTTTGCTTTGGATCACTCACGCCTTGAGGAATGAGCTCTTTGAAGGGCAAAATAAAAGCTGGTACTCTCGGCTGGCTCTCTGTGAACACAGAGCTCTCCGCGTCTTGTTTGTGTCAGTCAGGCTGCTGTTGTCACCGATTCCTTTAGAAGTGTGTGGTGTAATGAAATCTCATGTTCCAGTGTTGTGAGCCTTTCATCTCAGCAGGACTCACAGACTCCGCTTCCCCTCCTCAACATTTGCATGTTCTGCTATAATGCTCAGAGTTTATAGAGGACTTCCTTCACATGAAGGCTGGTTTTCCTTACAACGCATAAAAAACTGAAAGAAGTAAGAGTAAAGGATATGCAGGTCCTTGGGTATAGTGAATACGGGGAGAGTGTGCAACATTCAGAACTGAAATGAGAGAATGTCTTTTGATTTGTTATTTAATTCTTTAATTTAAATCGAGCTACTAAACAGGATGCAGAATGGGCTTTTTTTAATAATGCTCTTACTCAAATTTAATATTAATTGATTTATAGGCAGTGTAATGTATTTTAATTAAAATTTTAGCTTATTTTTTTATAAATTTCTTATGTATAGTTCTCCATTTATTTATTCATTCATTTTTTATAAATATAGTCAAGGGTATCATTATATTATGTTATATTATATTATATTATTTTATATTATATTATATTATATTATATTGTATTGTATTGTATTGTATTGTATTGTATTATATTATATATCAAACACAATATCATTTAAACATTTGGGGTCAGTACTTTTTTTTGGAAATTAATCATTTTATTTAGCGAAGATGCATTAAATGAATCAAAATTGGCAGTAAAATCAGTAAATACACTATATATATATATATATATATATGTGTGTGTGTTTTTTTTAGATAAATGCTGTTTTTATGAAATTTCTATATCAAATAATTCTGAAAAAAAGTGTCAAGATTTTCACCAAAATATTAGAATGATTTCTGAAGGATCATGTGACACTGAAGACTGGAGTAATGATGCTGAAAATTCAGCTTTGCATCAAAGGAATAAATTACATTTTAAAATATTTTCACATTTAAAATGGTTATTTTAAATGGTAATAATATTTCACAATGTTACGGTTTTTATTGTATTTTTTAAATAAATGAATAAACAAATTAATTAATTAAACCTTATTGACTCCAAACTTTTGAATGGTGGTGACTTTTTATTTTAGATGATTTTTATAAAAAGTGGCAATAATTATGTAGCCATTATATCTAGAATTATTAGCCTACTTCCTCCTTTTCTTATGGTCTTTACCTTTACTGTAGTTCAGTTCAAACTCACCATATTGTCATCATGCTTATACTGTATCGGTTGAAAAGGAGACGATTCTTAAATCCTGAATCTTGCACAGTCCTGATATCTATTATATTTTCACCAGCAGTGTTTGTGAGTGTGAGAGGAGAGATGTCGGTGTGTGTGTGTGTGTGGGGGGGGGTGCTCTGACTGGCTTATCTCTGTGCCTCAGGTGGGCAGCACAGTGAAGTTCCACTGTCAGACGGGTCACTTGTTACTGGGCTCCACCACACGGACGTGCCAGCAAGATTTGACCTGGAGTGGCACTCAACCAGAATGCATCCGTGAGTCCCTCTCGCTTACCTCCACAACAGACGCCTACTTACACAGTTTTTTGGTTGGATTTGTGAGTGTGTGCGCATTGTACTTCATCTTTTCCAGATGTCTGTTATTTTGTTTTCTTGTTTTCTTGGCAGGCCATCCATTTTTTCATGTCACGATACAACTTTGATTTCACCCTCCAGGAGTTTTGTTTTTCCATATTCATGTCATTCCATGTGAAAATGAAAAATATTGCTTTACCAGACATGCAGTACATCACGTGAATGGACAAGCTCTGTTGCATTTATTATGAGTAAGTAAGTGTGTTACTGGGTAAATCTCACAAAACTTTTCAGTCATATTTTTCACAAATATCAAAAGAAATTAGACATTTTTATTCTACTTAATGAATTTGTATTTATTATTATATTTTTATTATATTATATTATATTTCACTAAATATGGATATATATAGATGTAATGATTCTTGTAATTAATTATATTATATTATATTTCACTAAATATGGATATATATAGATGTAATGATTCTTGTAATTAATTATATTATATTATATTTCACTAAATATGGATATATATGGATGTAATGATTCTTATTATTAATTATCATTCTAAATATTGCAATGCATATTGTATTATATTATATTACATATTATATTATTGCACTAAATGTGGATATATATGGATGTAATGATTCTTATAATTAATTATATATTATATTATATCACAATAGTTATTTTTTCCAGAAAATTCCACAAAAACGAATTTATATGTATAATAACTGGGTGGTAATGATCCAGAGAATGAAAACGTTATACTGTAAATCATCTAATTTCCCCCAAAATTCTCATCAGTGTAAAAATGAAGAAAAAACTTTTTTTTCTTCTAATTATATAATTATTGTAATGCATTTCTTATTATGTTATATTATATTTATTTTATTATATTATTGTATATAATAATAGATTTAATAATAAATTTAAATAAAATATTAAATTATTAAAAATATTTAAAAATGAAAATAATTACAGAAGAAGAAAAAAACATTATTATGGTACTTTCGTTTTTTTTTTTTTTTTTTTTTCCTCCTTTGGCTACACGCTGCTCTATTCCTGCCAGCCTGGTTTCCTTCTCACCGGGGGCTCGGAGCACCGCGCGTGCCGGCCGGATGGATCCTGGACTGGGAAGGTGCCCGTTTGTAGAGGTACGCGGTCCAACACCCCATCAATACTAGGGTGACCATACGTGCCATTTTCCCAGGACGCGTCCTGGCCAGGATTTCTATATTGCCTAAAATATCTAGGTTTTGGCTTTGTTTGTGTGTGCAGACCGATCGGTGTATGACATCAAAGTACCATACAGACGGTTATGCTTTCGAAACGCTCTCGAGGTGCTTAGATGTCAAACACTGATCGGTCTTAAACTGCTTTTAAGTCGAACACACCTAATATGTACGCGTAATTGCATCGCTTTGAGCGTAGATCCCCCCTTCTCACCCGCCATGATTGGTCCATTATGTACAATGCTTACATGTTATTGGTCAAACTACTTTTTGATCATTACCTTCAGCAAGCATGAAAACAGGAAAACAAAGCCAAAACAAATCCTGGCCAGGACGCGTCCTGGGAAAATGGCACGTATGGTCACCCTAATCAATACAGAACTCAGATGTGTTTTACACCTCAACTTTGTGACCTGCAACTTTTCTGCCGTTTCTTTTGTCTTGTCGAGGCAGAAGCCGACTGATGGCGTTTCCTTTGCTTGATGTGGGAAGTCATGTGTGAAATGCATTTCCTTAAACCCATTTCAAATGCAGTGACTCGTTGTTGCAGTGATATGCATTTTTCTTTCAGCTGGCTCAAAAACAACTGAAAAAGTCATAACACCTGTTCAAGGAACATTGAGTCCCAAAGTCAACGGTGAGTCTCACTGTGCTGTGCAAAATAGTACATGTATGATCTAAAATGAATAATAATCACTGCTTGCACTTGTTTATTTACATTATTGTGTTTAAAGGTATGCCTTAAAGCAGGGGTGCCCAACCCTGTTCCTGGAGATCTACCTTCCTGCAGAGTTCAGTTCCAACCCTGATCAAACACACCTGTCTGTAATTATCAGACGTGCTCCTTCAGATCCTAATTAGTTGGTTCAGTTGTGTTTGATCAGGGTTGGAGCTGAACTCTGCAGGAAGGTAGATCTCCAGGAACAGGGTTGGGCACCCCTGGTTTAAAGGGACAGTTCACTCAAAAATGATGTCATCGATTGTTTTAAACCTGTTTGAGTTTCTTTCAGCTGTTGAACTCAAAAGAAGATATTTTGAAGAATGCTGGTAACCAAACAGTTGACGGTAGCCATTGACTTCAGTATTAGGAAAAAAATGCGATGGAAGTCAACTGTTTGGTTATCAGCATTCTTCAAAAAAAACTTCTTTCATGCATCACTGGTTGCTTACTGCTTTTATAACACTGCAACAGCAGCAATAATAAACAAAATGTGATCATAAATTAATAAATGTTTATCAGATCACACTATGAGTGATTTTATATTGTGGTATCACAATAGTTATTTTATGGAAACTTTAACACAAATAAGTAATTAGTGCTGTCAAACGATTAATCGCATCCAAAATAAAAGTTTTGTTTGCATAATATATGTGTGTATACTGTGTATATTTATTATGTATATATAAATACAAACACATGCATGTATATATTTATGAAAAATATGTTGTGTTTATATGTTACATTTATTTAGATATAATATGAAATATAAGAATATAAATATATACATGTAAATATTTTAAAAAATATTTACTGTATGTGTGTGTATTTACATATACATAATAAATATACACAGTACACATACATATATTATGTAAACAAAAACGTTTATTTTGGATGCGATTAATCGTTTGACAGCACTATGATTTATATATTTAATAACTGGGTGGTATGATCATAAATAAATTAATTCAGATCACTGTATGAGTGATTTTATATAATGGTAGAGGTAGATTTTGTCCCCACTGGAAATTCAGCAAAAAAATAATTTATATATTTAAGTGACCCTAACCCTAGGCTATATATATTATTTATTTATTTATTTTTATTTCAGGTAAGAAGCTATAATGGCAGCGCTGCACAGTACAGCTCATGTCATAAACACTTCTAGCAGTGCAGAAACCTGCTGCTCTGTGTAATCTCACCTGTTGTGGGAATAATGTCACTTACTGTTTGTACAAGATTGTGCCTTTAGTGCTTGCTTTTCTTAAAGACTGCAAGAGCCACTATATTTACAAGTATGGAAGAGTAAATATGCATTAAAAAACTCTTCAAAGTATGTCGTCATCATACTGACAAATGTTCAAAAGTTTGGGATTAGAGAGACTTTTGATGTTTTTGAACTCGTATGCTCATCAAGGCTGCATTTATTTGATAAAAAAAATACAATAAAAACAGAAAAATTATGCAATTTTTTTGCCATTTAAAACAGCTGTTTTGTATTTGAATATATATTGAAATGTAATTTATTCTTGTCATGCAAAGCTGAATTTTCAGCATCATTACTCCAGCCTTCAGTGTCACTTGATCCTACAGAAATCATTCTACTATGATGAATTACTGCTTAAGAAATATGTAATATTAGTATTAATGGTGAAAAGCATATTTTTGTGTCAACTGAGATGCTTTTTTTTAGGATTCTTTGATGAATCGAACGTTCAAAAGGACAGAATGTATTTGAAATAGAAATGTCTTTTGTGACATTGGAAATGTCTTTACTGTCACTTTTGATCAATTTTATGCGTCCTTGCTGAATAAAAGAATTGAATTCTTAAAAAAAAAAAAAATTATAAAAAAAACTTGGAAAAGTTTCTCGGTCTCTATATATGTGTGAGCTTGGACACACACCAAAGTATCAGATTATTCATAACAAACAGATAAGTCTGACATTAATGCAAAAACAGCTTCATGGTATGAAACACTTGAGCTGAAAGCAAAAGATTCTAATTGGATGAGCCACATTCAAAGCTATTTGAAAGTATCCAATATTTACACACCTGTGACCACGTATCAGTTGAATTTTATGTTATTGTAAATATTAATCCCAATACATTTGCATTAATGAGCAGGTGTACTCAATGAAGTGGCCACTGCATGCGAGTGAGTGCAACACGAGACGTGTTTAATGTTGTCTGAATGCAGGTGTTTACAAGAGTCGAGCCGCTCGTCTGACGCTGCGGCTGTATCACATGAGAGCTCTGGTGAAGAGCACCTACAGCAAGATCACTGAGGAGACCTTGATCATGGACGGCTTTGTAAGTGGACTAGAGTTTCTAACTTACTACAAGCTGCATGTTTGTTCAAATAGTGCAACTTAATGCTTCTTGCTCTAATCACTAATTTAAAGTTTCGCTGGAAACTAGTTCTTCAAGCAGTAAAAGAACATAGATTTGTTCTCAGGTGCAATAAACGCATCTCTGGCTATTTTTAAACTGCAGTAAAAGAAAACAGGTATTCAGAGAGCAATACCCTGGAATATTGCACAGAACATTCGCTCTATTCAGAATTTGAGAGAACATGATGTTCATCTCTGTGTTGTTGTTCTCCTCGAGGTCTCTGCTGACCATGAAGGAAACACATACTTGTTTCAAGGCTTTATACAAGGTAGAAACTACGGCCCATTTGGACTACAGAGGCAAGGTATGCTACATTTAAGCAATGCCAAATTATATTTATGTATTTATGTTCAGCCATGCAAGCAATAATTATAAAATATATATATATATATATATATGTATGTATATTTATGTGTCTGTGTGTGTGTGTGTGTATATATATATATATATATATATAAATCTAAACCTTAAATATATTTCATTATAAATATATGAATATACAGTTCTATGTATCAGTATTATATGAATAATAAATGCATATAAAATGTTAGTATAAATATAATATAATATAATATAATATAATATAATATGCAGTTTACAGCACCACTATGGCACCACGTTATATTATATTTTGAATAAGAATTGCATAATCTTATTATAGATACCTAGCAACAGTTATCATCCACTCATAATCACAATATAATTTAATTATAATAAGAGCAGATCTTTCTTAACTCTTTCATAATATCTTGCATAACTCATGTATGTAGTAACAAATGAATCACACTCACATGTATCTTTAGATTAATCCGATATCTTTGAACTCAAGGTTTATTTGAACAATTATGTTACTTTGACACTTGACATGAGCGGTTTTTTCAGTCGTATGATTCAGCCTAGGTTGATGTGGCTCTGTTAAAAATGATTATTTTCCCATCATGCATCATTTCAGGTCTGAACATAATAGAGCCCACCAGGAGCCCCGAGGGTCCACCCAGAACCAACAGCAGCTCTGTGGCCGTTGCCATTCTTGTGCCTTTCTTTGCCCTGATTTTTGCAGGCTTTGGGTTTTATCTCTATAAACAGAGGTGGGTGCAATTTCATCAATGAAATTACTGATGAAAAAAGATTAGAAAAGTTGATTCCTGATGTTCTTTTCCTTCTCATTTGATCGCAGGAAGTCTGATAAAGCAGAGTACAGCAGCTGCTCTGTGCATGAAAACAACAACGGTCAGGCTACATTCGAGAATCCCATGTACAACACCAATTCCAAATCCATCGAGGGAAAGGTCGTCCGCTTCGATCCCAATCTCAATACGGTTTGCACAATGGTTTGAGGGTTTGATGCTGTCACTTTTGTGTTGGTATATTACTTGTTTTAGTCTCTTCGAAGCAACTTTCAAGCACAGTTTGGGGTGCGCTACTCACACGGCAGCTCAAAGCTGTGCGCGGATTTGCAGGAAAACGTCATATTCTTCACCGTTCGAGTGGAGAATTATATATTATCTACATCTCACTCTGAGAGTGTTGATTTTGTATTTAAAAGAAAACAAAAACAAAAAGTTATGTGTCCTTTTCCAACGTTGAGTTTCATATGGCGCAAATTATTTGAAGCCATTCCAAGGACGTTCACACATACAGCGATTTGCTGAGTTGAAAAGTTGAGAAACGTCACCATGATACTGCGACTACCAGAAGGAGTGAAGACATTTGATGCGATAACGTGATCCGTCTCTTGTCAGAAACTGTAGACACAATGGTGAAGTTAATGTTCTGTATGATTTCTCTGCTCAAAAAAAAAAAAAAAAAAACCTGATGCATGGAGAACCTTGTCAGAAATCATGAGCGTTAAAAGTCCATTCATGCATCGATATTCGTTCATTTGCTTCATGATATGATGCTTAAGTGCCGCTGCGATTTATATTCAGACTCTTTCCTCTGCAGAATGCTCATTTGTACCGGCAAGAAAACTGATTCTTTGTCAAACGAGCTTATTTTTACTGACGAGGATGAAGAGGCTGTATGTGTGAACGCCCCTTCAGACTGTGCACATCGTCTCGTCATCGCAGTGTGCTTAAACCTACTAGCCTACTACAGATCGGAACACGAGCGTTCCTATCGGATGATGCTCACCAATCAAGTGTAAACTTCCTCATGGAATATCTATTACAAATGGCTTTCGGTTGGCTTTTTTAAAGGAACAGTACACCCAAAAATGAAAAATTGCTGAAAATGTACTCACTCTCAGGTCATTCAAGATGTAAATGAGTTTGTTTGTTCATCAGAACAGATTTGAGGAAATGTTGCATTGCATCACTTGCTCACCAATGGATCCTCTGCAGTGAATGGGTGCCGTCAGAATGAGAGTCCAAACAGCTGATAAAAACATCACAATAATCCACAAGTAATCCACACCACTCCAGACCATCAATTGCCATCTTGTAAAGCGAAAAGCTACGTGTTTGTCAGAAACAAATCCATCAAAATATTTTTTTACTTGCTTCCAACTAAAATACGAGTCCTCTATCTATAAAATTCATTTTTTTCATTCATTTCATTTATTTATATAGCACAAATAAACACAACAGGAGTTGACCACTGTGCTTTACAGAGTATAAAACTAAGATACATGCCTTCTAAGAATCGAACCTAGAGGTAACATATATAAAGAATGAGAAAGCAAAAAATTGCTTTGTTAATTGAAAAAGTAATCTCGTCTGAATCAGGAGAGAAATCTGCACAAATCAAGCACAACGAGTGGAAACAGCCCAAAACATCTCTAAATATGTGGGTGGATTTTGATGCGAGACAACAACAGGAGATGGACTTTTTCTCTGCAGGAACCGTTAATTGGGATTATGCACTCAAATTGTCCAGAAGTGACGTTTTAAGTCAAAATGCCTTAATGATGGATTTGTTTCTTACAAACACACAGCTTTTCAAGACATTAATTGATGGACTGGAGTGGTGTGAATTGCTTATTGATTATTGTGATGTTTTTATCAGCTGTTTGGACTCTCATTCTGACGGCACCCATTCACTGCAGAGGATCCATTGCTGAGCAAGTGATGGAATGTTACATTTCTCTAAATCCATAACAATGAAGAAACAAATTCATCTGCATCTCGGATAGCCTGAGGGTAAGTCAGTTTTCAGCAGATTTGTTTTATTTTTGTGTGAACTATTCCTTTAAAGGGTGAAGTTTGTCATTTTTTTCATTGTTGAAATGCTCTCTCTGTAGCTGCGAGTAAGCCATTCGTAGGTTGACTTCCTGAAGAGTGTAACACTGTGGCTCTGTGGTGCTTTTCACAATACTCTTTTTGCTCGAGCATGCCGACATGTCAACTTCTGAATCCAATGGAGGTGGAAGGCGTGTGAGGGGCAGTTCAGACAGAAACACTTTCTAGCGTTTAAAATAGTGTAACTAAACGTATGTTTATAGGTGCTTTATCAGCCATTCGCAATTGTTAATAAACACTCAACTTGTTCAAATGTCCTGTAAATATCATCTGATTGGTCCATTGTTTCAAAACGGATTTCTTCAGTGCATCTTAACATGGTAAGAAGCAAAGTAACAGCCAAAGGCATTCATTTAGCATTTGCATAGATCAACAACTAAAATAATGCAGAAATCCAAATATAGTTTTTGAAATGGTTCTTAAATATTTTATTTTGTTTGTTTCAAATTTTATTAAAGGCACAATATGTAAGATTTTTTTTATTAAAATATCCAAAACCACTAGAACAGTGTTATATATTTTGCTGGCTTGGGAAAGAGTGGAAGCAGTCGACGATGGCATAATAAAAGCTCCGCTGCTTTCGAGCCGTGTGTCACGCTCGTTCAGCGGCCTCGTTTCGCTTCGACGGCTTTCAGCCTCACCCTGCTTCATTCTACTACCTTAATAAATCATTAGCTCATCCATGAACATGATTTCTGCCCGAGTCCCGTCGGATTGCATCGGCTGTTGGGATGAAGACGACAACTCCCATGATTCCACACTCAGTCACGGCGTCATCAAACTACGCCTTTGTTTCTTTGTTTGTTTTGAATACGCACCCTCTAGCGGCGAAAACTTACATATTGTGCCTTTAACTCAAGTACACTGTAAAAAAAAAGTTTTTTTTTAGTTGTAAATAAATCAGTGGAGTACATTTTACAAGAACTTTCTACTGAAATTTTACGTTTAATTCACTGTGTTGCTTGTGGTTTCTTTATAATTATTTGTCCAATTTACTAGCAATGTCTAATTGAAACTTGTTTTAAGTAAATGTATGGTTTTGGCCGTGATAATAGCCAAAGAAGCTGGCATGGTATTAGAAATACAAACCAAAATAGTGCAACTGGAAACGCAAGAATGTGTCCTGTATGAACGGCCCATAAAAGTGGGAAACTATTTTTTAATTCCCTTTAGGAGAAATATCTTTTTACACAAGTTCATTCATTGGGTTATACTTCATATTTTCTTCAGATTTGTATTGAATATTCACAAATGTTTCCGATTTGCTCATTTTAGGATCACATCTGACTGGCTATTAGCAGATTTCCTGCTTCTAAACGTTCTGTTTCATAACTCATAATAGTGCCTTGTATGATATTTCACTGGTGTTGTGGGGGAAATGGGTAAAATTTTCTGTTTGCTTATTTATTTATCAACTACAGCTAGTAATGGTTTAATTGTTCTGCAAAAAGTCACTTTTGCACATACCTGCCAAATATAATCAGATATAGCATCAGTGCTATGTTTGAGTTCTTTGTGCCGCTGCCCATAATGTCTCTTCATCAACAATTTGTATATTTATACAGATGTTTTTGTTCCTTCAGTGGGTAAGTGTTGAGCGGCATCGCCGTGCTGTGTTTGGCTCTCACTATTCCTATCAGTGACACGAAATATCAAACACTGTCAAAGATTTGCGATTGCTTTTAGGCACTGGCTCCTTCAGATGGGTCCATCACTCTTGTAAATGCATTCATATCAAATGTACAGATATTTAAACGTTTTTCAAAAGAGTTATATTTTTGTGAGAAATTTGTCAAATAAAAGGTTATGTAAATATCCATTTGTAAATGCCATTTACAAATAAAAAGTAATTTGCTTTTCTACATTCGCTGGATTATTTCTTGAAATATTCAAAGCTGTGCTTGTATGAGGACTGACTACATAACATGTCTTAAAATCACAGAGTTATTGGTTGCGTCCCAAATTACGTATTTATAACATGGTATGGTGAAAATACCTTTTCGTTCGTAAGTGTGATTTTGAATTGTTAAATTGGAATGACTGAGGAGTGAATTATGTTTTGCAACAAAACAATTTCGATTAAATACATTTACAAATTTTGCTGGTTGTTTGCCGATAAATGTACAAGTAGACAATAGTTTTCAAAAGTTTGTAGTCTGTAAGATTTCTTTAATGTCGTTGAAAGTGTCTTATACTCGAGGCTTAATTTATACATTAAAAATAGTAGTAATTTTAAATATTATTGCAATTTAAATCAAATATTGTGATTTATTATCAATTTAAATTAATGACATTTTTTTATTTTTTTATTATTAATTTAAATTGCAATTTAAATTGTTTTGTGCTGAATTCTCAACATCATTACTACAGTCTTCAGTGTCACACGATGCTTCAGAAATCATTCTAATATATTAATTTTGTGCAAATGAAACATTTCTTCTTATTAATTCTGGGAAAAAAAATTATTTATGTATTTATTTTGTGGAAACCAAGATGATTTGTAACATAAAAAGTAGCTGTTTAAAAAAAAGGATGAAATTGTTAATATTGACAAAAAGCATCAACGTTGAATTTACTGACTAATCAGCTAATAACATGATTTTACAGATTGTGCTAACATAAATTTACAGTTGTTCATTAACAGTTTGTTCATTTAAATTCATTAGCTAAAAATAGTTTCGTTGAAATGAAATGTTTCAATATAACTTATAAGACTGCAGTTGTATATTAGTAGTTTTGCCCAGATTAGATTCATACATTCAGCAGCAGCTTCAACCTCACATTCCTTACACTTATTTATAGCCCACCTAGAAAATTACAGATTGTGCTAACATAAATTTACAGTTGTTCATTAACAGTTCGTTCATTTAAATTCATTAGCTAAAAATAGTTTAGTTGAAATGAAATGTTTCAATATAACTTACAAGACTGCAGTTGTTTATTAGTAGTTTTGCCCAAAATAGATTCATACATTCAGCAGCAGCTTCAACCTCACATTCCTTACACTTATTTATAGCCCACCTAGAAAACTTGAAAGTGAGCCATCAAAACCTCTGTGCAAGGAATTGTGGAAATTATTAGTGCAACATTAGTATGCA